TATATATATATATTGAATACAGATTTTTTTAATCCAAATACAAAAATTAAAATACCGAGATATATACCGTATATCGCAAATCGGCCAAAAAATACAGAGATATGAATTTTTGCCCATATCACCCAGCTCTATTGTTAATCATATTATTATTATTATTTTTATTAGTCAAATAATTAGTACAAATATTTATCTAAATTAATATTTCTATATGTAAACCATTATTATTATTGTTGTTGTTGTTTTTACTAGTACTACTATTATTATTATTGAAATAATTAGCACAATAAATATTTATCTCAATGAATATTTATATATTTATTTAAACTATTATTATTATTACTACTACTACTACTACTGAAAACAATATTTAAATTAAGATGTATTTATTTTATATAAATGTTATTGCTATTAACATTATTGTTATTATCTTTGTTATTATTATCTATATGCACATATTTATCTATATACAAATTAATATTTGTATATTTAAACAAATATTTAGTAGTAATAATAATAATAATAATAAATAACAATAACAATATTTTTACAACAAAAAAAATTTACAATAATTTTATATAATACAATATTATAATTTAAAAGTTTATTTAAATGTGTACTCATTTATTCGTTTTAACATACTTATTAACGTACATATTTATATATGCATTAATATGAATAATAATAATAGTGGAAAAATTAGACAGACAGACAGACAGACAGAGAGAGAGAGAGAGATAATAGTGGAAAAATTAGACAGACAGACAGACAGAGACAGAGAGAGAGAGAGAGAGAGAGAGAGAGAGAGAGACAGACAGACAGACAGACAGACAGACAGACAGACAGACAGACAGATAGATAGATAGATATATAGATAGATAGATGTTTTGTTATTATTAATCAAGTATTAATGTACTTATTTATGGAGAGAGAAAATCAATCTACACATAATAGCAGACAAACAAGAAACATAAGCTTAAAAACTGATCTTAGATTGGATGACGATGGTTTCAGTCATTCATATGTGGCTTGTTCACATTTGGATTTGAATTTCAAGGTGGCATTATGGTACATATTCACCTCTATCCCAATTCATCCCCATAGTTTCTCTCTCTTTGGAAGAGCATCTAAATGTTAATAGGCGTTGTGCAGGTAAATTTCCAGCCGATCTTCCACAGCGGCGTTCCGCATACATATCCGTTTCTCTGAACTGCAGCTGAGCTCTAATGTCAGAATGTTAAATGGAAGACCATGAGTTTAAAAACTTAAAGAGGCAGTGAAATATTGGCCAATGTGCTTGAGGGATGACTGGCTCTTTACTCCGAGTGTCAGTGTTTAATGGTGGGCCTGGATGCATATAAGTTAGCCCAAGCATGAAGGGCAGTGGGATGCTCATGTGGAGAAAAAAAGGCTGACTTTCAATCCGCCCTCCTTTGGCGGGGCGGGGGTCCCATCAGAAACATCATGCCATTTCTCTCACTCACTCAGTCAGCCTTGAGATGCACTGCAGACTTACCTCAGTGTTGTACACTCCATATATCAGGAAGATGAAGAGGCCCTGCGAAAGAAAGAAAAAAAGAACGAAGTTGTTAGGAATCTTTCTGAGATTCTGAAATCAATAAGAACTGTATGAAAAGCATTTCTGAAGCTGATATGCGTAACACCACGCTGAACTTTGGCCCAAGGTTTCTGAAGCCTATTCTTCCCTCGAAAGTAAGCAAGAAAGAGGCTAAAGAAGAACAATCAGTGGCATAGATAGACTTAAAGCTCAAGAAATAAAGGGAATAGAAAAACCAAAGGGAGCTTGAACGGGCTGCCCTTGGATATACAGAATGAGAGCACATGTGGTGACAAAAAAATGGCAGTTTTTCATTATTTCCACAGTTGTGGCTATTCAGGAGAAGAAGTGTGCATCTGCAGGTCTGGAGAGCCAAAGAAAAGATGACGAGTTGCGGAAAAAAAGGTGATGGTCAAAAAAAAGTTGGACCAACACTCAAAGAATTCTCAAACGACGGTTGGGTTTTGCGATACAAAAGTGTAAAAAGGTAAGGAATTAGTTCAAAAGATCGTCATTTACTCTTCCTTGAGGTGATTTAAATTCCTTCGAAGGAACACAAAAGTTTTGGAATGAAAAGAAGGTGAGTAAATGAAGGCATTTTTGTCGAATTATTCATTTAAAGTTAGTCTTATTAGCAATGTCATGTTAAATCAACAAAGCGAGCCAGATTTTCCACATATCTGTATATATTTCTATACACATTTTGCTCTTTACACTTAATATCTTTTTTTAAAGGAGGATGAAAGAAAAACCATTTCAACTCTAGAGCCAGGTCTGCAAGTGTGTGAATGAACTGTCCTTGAGTGAAGAAAGAGGGCACATGTGGTGGTAAAATAAAAAGTGCAATTTTTTTCTTTATTCCTATTGAATATAGAAAGTTGCACTTTCTATATTCAATCTTTAGGGCTTTTCAAGGAAATTAAAAGTTGTACTAACTTAAGGTCAACACTTTTCTGCTTTTTTAGTTTTAGTTCTGAAATGTTCTTGACTATACACACAAAAGCCGAGTTTAATGTGTTCACAAATGCAAGGTCTACTTTCCTTCTGTAGGAATTTTACGTCAACATCTTGCGATTATGATCATTTGTATTTGTTTTTTATTGGCGTGTTTTGCCGTGTCCTGTCTGACAGCTGTGATAGAGTCACATCAATCAGGCAGGAGTTTGGAACGTCCAATTTGCCAGAGCTGGATCACAATGCATCATCACTGACAGCGTGATTTGGAGGTCTGCTCCAGATGTCCACTGTGTTGCCTGTGATGCCAACCCTCTTCATTTCATCAGCGCTGGGGAGCCGCAGATCTCCCATGAGGCCATGCTACGCTATCAGCTGCTGTCAAAGTAGCATGACATCTATCATGAAAATTATTTTTTGTATACTAGTCAATGAAAACCAAAATGGTAAATATCTAGAGCCGACACTGGCATATTAAAATCATATTTATTTTTGATATATGAAAACTGGGATGAACATATATATTTAAATGCCTCACAGATTTTTTTTTTGCAAATTTAATGGCATATAAAATATGGTGTCTTTACAGATGATCACTTAAATAAATATTTGTTTAAATAAATATTGATTGAAATAAATATTCTTTCTAATTGCTTCAGAATTGTTAGGTAATATTAAAACTTAATATTATTATTATAAATAATACAAGTATAAAACCTCATTATTATTATTAGTAGTATTATTAAAATATTTGCATGTTTAAATAGATAAGTATTCATTTAAATTAGCATTTATTATTATTATTGTTCAAATATATATTTCTATGCTTAAATAAATGTAAAAAGACAAATATTTGTTTAAATGAAAATATTTATATTAATATATTAATAACAATAATTATCAACAAATGTTAAAATTAATAAATTAAGAGGGATTTATATCAATATTTAAATGATAATAATAATAATAATATGTTGAAATAATTAAAGTAATAAATAAATGTTCATGATAAAAATATTTCTTTAAATATTCATCATAAAATATATTTAAATAATTAATAATTGTTATATAATATTGAATTATTATTTAAATAAATATTTATGTTTACATATGTAATTAAATATTCATTTTATTATTATTATTAAATATCTGTAATATTGTTTAAATAGATACATAAATATTCTTAAAATGAATATGTATTATTATTATTATTATTAAAATTGATATTTGTATGTTTGAATAAATTGAAAATATTAATACATAATAATATATTAATAACAATAATCATCATCATCAACAACAATAAATATGTATAAATCTGAATAAAAAATGAATAAATGAACAGTGATTTACACAAATATTTGAATAATAATAATGTTAAAATAAATAATTAAATATTCACCTTTAAATAAATATTTATTTAAATAATTAATAATGCTATTTAATATTGTATTATAACCATTATATTATTATTATTATTATTAAGTAAATTAATATTCATATGTTTACATAAGTACTTAATTAATAAACGTATCATTGTTGTTGTTGTAAATAAACAAATATATACAAAAATGTGGAGCTGGTCAATTATATTTTGTGAACATTTTTTAACATTGTTTAAATGTTTTTATCCTGTTTTAAACCGTTGCTTTTCTTTAAAGTCACACTGAATTCAATGCTGTGCTACAGCACCCACGACTCCTCTAAGGAAGCAATAGCCAGTGATAGCGGGGGGGTAAAAGACAATGCGGCACGCATCCCATTGTTTTGCATTAGACTGTCAATTTCCTATTTAGTATTGCAAATGATTTATCATGTTTTTGATCATGGGCCTTATTTGTGTTTAAGCTTTCAATGTGTTCTGAACAAAGTGGGAAAAACATCCCTTGCATATTATGAAAAATGATCAATTAGAATATAATTGAGATAAAAATAAAATGGCACCAAAACAATAATGATGAATTGTTTAAAAAGTTAATTCATTAGTGACGAGCTAAAAACAAACACGGAAAAATGGAGCACATTTAAATGCATTGTGTTTTTTGGGTTTCGGGGGAAAAAACACATTTCTTTTGAACTCCGCTCTAAAATGGTGGAAATGTATGCAAAGGGATTGTATTGCTATACATCAAACAAAAAGAATAAATTATCTGCTAACGAAACTAATTAGGAAACAATTCCGTTGTTTAAAAACAGAATGCATTCGGAACCGGCAAATGTTGTGTTCTAAAAACACGCGGCACCCCAGAGATCATGACGCATTCGCAAGTGTGATTTCATTCCAACAATCAGGACATGCTCGTTCTAACGCTAACAAATCACCGTAACAAATCATGACTTAAAAAATGGTAAAAATCAAGGAAATTCATGTATTTATTTTATTTTATTTTTTAACAAATATTTATTATTAATATTCATGTGAATATATATTTAATACAACAACAACTACTACTACTAATAATAATAATAACATTATTATTATTATTATTAT